ATTGAGTGAGATTGTTTTGGTACTCATTTGTATATTGATTCATACTACAAATATTTTTGAGTACTCAAACCAGAAACGGACCTTGAAAGGAAACCAGAGATGCACAGCACAGTAAAGACCCCTCTCTGCAAAGAACTTAAAATCTAATGAAGAACCAAAATATATGAACATTAAATCTTAGATCTTAATCCAGGCTTTGAATGGCATTGGAAAAGAACAGTGCTATTGTCTTTAGCAGTAAATGCTGAGTAAGTGCTGTGATCTTAAGTAAAGAAAGAGCCCTGCGTTTTGGAAGCTATGTATTATAATGGTTAAGAACACAGGTTTTAGAGTCAGCCAGACTGGGTTCCAGTCCCAGCTCCTCCCCAGTAGCTGTGTGATCTTGGGCAAGTCCCTTAACTTCTCTAGGCCCCTGTTTCTTTCTTCTATAAAAATGTAGGTAATAAAATCACCTAGCTTATGGGGTTGTTGTGATGAATAGATGAGATCAACAATGCACAGAAAAGCTCTGTCTAGCACTCATATGCTCTTACTAAGTACCTCCAATTATTAGTGTTTAGTATTATAATCAGAAATTTTCCCAAAGAAAACAAGAACTAAGGTGGACCTGCCTAATGTTTGAGCTGAGGGCAAGCCCTGCCTCATTTGTTGCTGATACTCAGGATGAGAGAAGAACAGTGATGCCTCAGTTGGAGACCTACTCAATAACTGAGTAAATGCATGTAATTTCATTTGTGTATTTATTCATCAAATATTTCTTGTGTGCATTCTCATTGATGGCTTATGTGCTGTGTACCAGGAATACAAAGGTAAGTAAAAACACTCGGAGTCTTCTTTCAGACTACTGGAAAAGACAGACATCTGAAAAATGATTATATAAGGATATATCATTATTATAATTGGTATTATGAAGGATTATACTGTGTCTTCAGAGTGTATAATAAGAAACACCTGCTTAGTTCAGGGAAAACTTTCCTGTGAAAGTGATTTATAAGCTGAAATCAAATGGACTGGATAGGATGGGAGGAGGAGGATAGGTTTTGGCGGGTGGAATAGCATAGGTGAAGGCTCAGTTGGTATGCCTGAGGCCCTGAGAAACCAGTGTGGATGGAGTGTAGACAGAGTGGAGGCAGATTCATGAGTCTGTAAGCAGGGCTTTGGGGGTTGGATTGAGATCTTTATCCTAGTATATTAATGGTGTGCCATTAAAAATGTTTAAATAGGGGAATGACATGGTCAGATCTGTGTCTGGAATAGCACTCTAGCTGTAGTGTGGGGAAGACCAAGAATACTATTAGAGAGGTGTCTCTGTGATTGACTGTGTAACCAAATCATTGAAGGGACTGAACTCAGTGGAGTTTAAACATCAAAAGATTCTACTTTTGTTGCTGACCACAATCTTCAAATGTGCTGATAACATTTCCCTTCAAATTCCTTAATATCTTCAGCAGATTATCATACTTCCAGATTACTTTCTGTTATTAAAAGTACAGTCTGACCTAGTCTAATCTTACATGTCCAACTTAAACCTTTCGCTCACCCTTCCCTCAGTGTCCTTCCAGTCCAATCGTGTCAAGGGATGAGGGACATCCTTGGAAGTGGAGTTGGCAAATAGTCTGTGTTTTCACTCTTCTCTATTACAGGTTTTGCTTTGCTCCCCAGCCTGTGGAGCTGAGTGGAAGACTGGGGACAAGTCACAAGTGTATCCTATTTAACGTGAGCTGCTGTTGATATACTTGATTTAGTAGGCATCCACATGCTGCCTCTATCTGATGAGCCATTCTTCAGGAAGCCATACAAGGGCCTCTGCACAGTTCCTTGGTGTGGGACAGGCCACCTCTTCTGATACCTTCCTTAGCAATGTGTCCCTAGCCTCTTGGTGTTGGGATCCCATCAGTTGGTACACAGCCCCCTTGGGCATGTACCAGCAATTAACTTCAAGCTTAACTTTCTTCTTCAGTGTCTTCTGGAAAATCCAAGCATCTTGCTCCAATCCAAGTGGCACTTCAACTAGTGCCACTTCTTTTTGTTCTCCAATATTTGTTTTTATCCTGTTCAGGTTAGTGCCAAGATTAGTTAACTCCACTGCCTGCATAGATGTCCAACCCAACAATGAGACACTGTTATCTCCTTCTTATGGGTGTATCTAGTCTTTACAAGTAATTTTATTGGATTCCTTAACTTGGCTTTGGGGGAGAGGGAGAGCCACATTACTTGTCCCCAGCAACTCCCATATATTTCTCTCATCTCTGTATAACACATAATATGTAGATAATGCAGTAGGGAGGAGGAAAGGATGGGAGACTGATGCTTGGAGGAGCAATGACAGTTCTGTTGCCTCTCATTAACCCACTGATTCTCTTTAAATGATGGGGGTTCCTTGATATCTATTGTATTCAGCTTTGGAGCATTGGTGGCAACAGTTTATCATCCTGAATTATTAAATGTGGGAGAAGAGAGTCAATGATGATTTCCCATTTCTAACCAAGAAAATGGAAGGATAGTGAGGGAAAAGTCAAGAGGATTAAATTGTTAGGACAGAAGGAAAGCTAGAGGTATAACTGTAGGAGTTATTGGTGTATAGATAATAATCGAGGGCATCAATAGGCATATAACTACCTAGGGAGTGCATAGAGTAAGAAGAACAGTAGGTCTTATATTGATCTTTAAGGGATTCCAACAATTAAAAGCTGAATAGAGGAGAAAAAACTGGCCAAAGAGACTGAGAAAGAATGGTAGAAGGTAAACAAGGAGAGTGCTGGAAGGTCAGGTAAGCTGAGAACTAAAATGTCCATCGCATTTAACAACCTGGAGGCCACGGGGTCATCTTAGTGACAGTCAGTTCACACAAGTGGAAATGGAAGTTAGATCAAAGTGAGTTTAAAAAGAAATGTGTAGTGAGAAAAAGAAGGCGGAGAGTAGACACATTCTTTATGTTTGTCTGTGAAGGGGAGACAGATAGGGTGGTAGCAAAAGGAGAAAGTGGGGTTGAGGGAGTATCTTTATGGAACTGAGTCTGTTTGAAAGCTGTTAGGAAGGATCCAGTGTGGGGGGCTAGGAGGAGCAGGAATTGAGTATGTAAGAGAGAAGGCAGATAGAGTGGAATCTAGAGCACAGCAGGATAAACTGGTCTTAGGGGAAAAGGAAAGCAGGAAAGGGTTAGTACAATTTTATGTAGATGTGTAGATTTCAGTTTGTGGAAATTGAGGGAGATTCTGACCCTTTTGTATAGTGGAGGTGGAGTTTTAGGGAGAGATTTTGGGTACGCTGAAAACAAAGAGTATTTATTATTACTGCTGTGCGATCATCTTAAAAACCTTCAGATTCCAAATTTAATTTGACCTTTGACATTTTCCAAGGTAACATGTCTCCTTCCCATGTATTATATCAAATTTGCTGAAATAGGCCAGGTGCAGTAGCTCACACCTGCAATCCCAACACTTTGGGAGGCTGAGGCAGGAAGATCACTTGAGGCTGAGAGTTGCAAGACCAGCCTGAGCAATATAGTGAGACTTTGTATCTACCAAAAAAAAAAAAAAAAAAACACTTTAGCTGGACGTAGTGTTTTACACCTGTAGTCCTAGCTACTCAGGAAGTTGAGGCAGGAGGATTGCTTGAGTTTGAGGCTGCAGTGAACTATGATCACACTACTGCATTCCATCCTGGGCAACAGAGAAAGATCCTGCTTTAAAAACATGAAGATTTAAAACGTTTTGAAAGCTAAAACAGAAGTTTTTTTGGTAGCCATTATTAGTTTACTCACTAATACACACCCCAACAAAAGCTAACCCTATAAGATTAGGTAAGAGGGCAGTCCTCAGTAGTTTAAATTTAAAGCCTTGGTTCTAAGATCACTTTATCTTTGACCATAGACTTCAGCTCCAGGGCTTATTTTCATGATTACCATAAAATACAGTGTCCTTAGTCAACATGTAATAAGGAAAAATTACAGCATAAGCTGGGATTTCTAAGCATCTTCCCGTAGAAATAAAGTTAGAAATTCCTGAATAACTAAAATATATCTCGTTATAAAACATTGACTGAGTGATCAGCATGCCTAGAAAACCAGGACAGTGAGTATTGTATGGCCCCGATTTCAAATGGACTTACAGACCTAGAGGTGAAAGGATAAATTATTGAAATTTTCTTTAACAGAAGTCAGTTTCTGAGTACGGTAGTCTCCTTTTATCTGTGATTGTGCTTTCTACACTTTCATTTACCTGAAGTCAACCATGGTCCAAAAATGGGTGAATACAGCATAATATATTTTGAGAGAGAAGGAGACCACATTCATATAACTTTTATTATAGTATATTGTTAAAATTGGTCCATTTTATTAGTTATTATTAATCTCTTACTGTGCCTAATTTATAAATTAAACTTTACCATAGGTATGTATGAATTTAAAAAACCAGCATATATAGAGTTTGGTACTATCTGCCATTTCAGGCATTCACTGGGGGTCTTGGAACGTATCCCGAAGATAAGGGGGACTATTATAAATGAGATGGGATTCTCTGACATGTATCTAATTAGTAAACCTTTTAGTTCTGACCCCAAGAAATAAGACTGACTGAAAATATAAATACTAATTCATGAAGTAAGTGGACTCACTAATTAGTTCTAATTCCCCAAGCTAGGTGGGGCAAAATTGTTTTTCACAAAGTTCAAGACTCGTTTTTTTTTGTGGTGGGGCTTGGGTGGGGAAGATGGAGTCTTGCTCTCTCCCAGGCTGGAGTACAGTGGCACGATCCTAGCTCAGTACAACCTTGACCTCGTAAGCTCAAGCAATCTTGCCACCTCAGTGGAGTAGCCAGGACTACAGGTGTGCGCCACCATGTCCTGCTAATTTTTTCCCCCTAGAGACAGGGTTCCGCCATGTTGGCCAGGCTGGTATCGAACTCCCAAGCTCAAGTGATCTGCTCACCTCAGTGTCCCAATGTGCTGGGATTACAGGCATAAGCCATTGCTCTCAGCCAAGACTCTTTTTTTTTTTTTTTAATGTAACTACTTTAATTAGCATAATTTTATTTAAGAGTTAGATTGTGTTGTCAATGCTGACATTTTGGGGGATATATAGTATAGTTTATGAGTCAAGCTTCTAAACCAAAAGTTTTACTTTGAGCCCTATTCCCATCTTACTAGCTAGCAGGTGACCATGGGCAAGCCAACTTATTAGAACCCTGGGTCCATGTCCGTAAAGTGAAGACATCATAATCTGTCCTACCTACCTCACAAGCTTCTTATACAGATCAACTAGGTCAATATATGTAATATTTTTCTGACAACTGTAAAGTGCTATAAAATGACAATTACAGATAAGTCAGTGAACCATCAAAATATTATTCATGTCTATAACCAAAAGCTTTTAAATAAAACAGCTTAATAAAAAGTGGTCAGGTAAGCAAACAAAGATTATATTATACACACTATATTCCTTACCTACTCTACTGAGTCTAATCTTTGGAAAGAGAATTCATTTTAAAGGGAAAAAATCTGCTAAGATATTTGTTAGTATTTATACAGACAAGCTGCAACTACTATTCAAAAATAGAGGAGGTTTCTTCATCCAATAGGAGTACATTCTTTAATAGAACTGTATTTTACTAAGAATTCCATACAAATAGAATATATATCTTAACACAAGAAAGCAAGGAAAGAATATTTTACTTTACATAGAACATTCAGTTGATACAATTGAGTTAGCCCTCCAACCAAATACTTCTTTTCCCTATTAACTACAAACATTGCAGTCAGTCAGTATATGCCAGCAATCATATACCTGTTGTGAAGTACACTTGACTGCAAAGGGAACGGAGGTGATGTAGTCTTCATTTCAGGGGAGAAGAATGGACTGAATTACTGTCTGCTTTTCAACGTTTCAACTAACCATTCCATTGCCTCATCAAGGCTAGTGCCTTTGGTTGCTGATGTTTTGAATATTGCCATTTTCAGTCCTTCAAGACAGGTAGCCAAAGTAAATTTGCCATCTCTGAGGAAGTCATGGCCTGTTCCATGTCCTGCAAACACCACTAAAATGGCTTTTCTCAGCTCTTCTTCCTCCAACATGGCAACTAACTCTGATTTGGAAATGCCAATTCGGTCTTGGTCACAACAGTCTACTACATAAATGACTGCATCTGTGTTTGAATAGTAACATCTCCAGTATGGCCTGATACTTGTCTGTCCTCCTAAATCCCAGAGTTGGAATTTAAAGTTTTTGTATGTCACCATCTCTACATTATATCCGATGGTAGGTATAGCAGTAAAGACTTCTCCAATTTGTAATCTGTACAAAATTTTGGTTTTTGCTGCTCCGTCTAATCCCAAAATTAAAATCTTCATTTCCTGAGCTCCAAACAGACTGGAAGATATACTTGAGAAAAAACCACCCATGATGAACCTCTGTCTGCTCTCACTGATCCTCAGTGATCCAAGACTCTTTAACTGCTGCTTTCCTCCTAAACTAAAAGGCAGTTCTCATCCTCTCTCACTACTTCACATTAGGTAACCTCTTTTGAATCATATTTAATTATTTTCCCCTTACTAAGCTCTTGCACAAAAAGGTATATTGAAATGTTTCTGGGTAGATTTGTATTCTGTTTATCCTATTTTCTTCATGAATTTATTGATTCCTTAAGGGTCATTCTCTATTGCAGTGGTTTTGAATTGTTTATGTTACTGAAACAACTGAAAGTTACTTCACTAAAGAACTTGGATCCTGCTATGGTGGCAAAAAATAAAACTCCTGCTTACATACATTCTGTTATTATACTTCTTATTTACTGTATTATTTTAATTACTAAAAAAATTGTGGTAATATGGTAGGGAGTCCATTTTATTGCAACAATAATGACAGCTAGCATTTATTTAGCTCTTTTTAAGGTCAAGCAGTGTTCTGGATGCTTTACATCTATGACTCATTTAATCCTCTCACTAATCTAATGGGTCGGGTACTATTATGGGCCTCATTTTCATAGATTAGGTATCTGAGGCACAGAGAGGTTGAATACTTTGAGGAATCACGCAACCAGAGCCATGATAGACACCCAGGTTATCTGGCTCCTGAGCCCACATTTTTAGGGGCTATTCTATGAAATGATTCACTATATAAAACCAGGTATTTCATTAGTAACAAAACATACAATATTTGGAGTATGAATTTTACCACTACAGACCTGAAATGAAGATAGATAAAAATTTGCAAAAACAATATGGGCAAATAAGGGAGGCAGAAAATGGTGCATTATGCTTGCAAGTGAACATGGGGATTAAGGAGAGTAAGTATTTGGAAATTGTAATGAAACCATGTGTCCCTCCGCACTGATGACCTGCATACCCCTGTAGTGAACTACTGCTTTAGTAAACATTCTTCCTTACTACACCTGCTGTGTATGATTCCAGGCACAGTAGGCCCTTGGGGAATGTTGGTATCCACTATAACTTGGTTTTTCTGACTCCTCCAAACCTCTGGTTTGAAATTTGATTCTCAGTGTTGGAAGTAGGGCTTATTGGGAGGCATTTGGGTCATGAGGGTAAATCCCTTATGAAGGGCTTGGTGCTGTCTTCATGGTAATGAATGAGTCCTCACTCTCTTAGTTTCCGGGAGAGCTGGTTGTTGAATACGGCCTCTCCCTCTTCTCTCTTCTTGCTTCTTCTCTTACCACGTGATCTCGCACAGCTGGCTCCCCTTTGCCTTCTATGAGTGGAAACAGCCTGAAGCCCTCACTAGTAACAGATGCCATCACCATGCTTCTTGTACAACCTGCAGAACTGTGAGGCAAATAAACTTTTTTTTTTTTTTTTTTGAGATGGAGTCTCACTCTGTTGCCCCAGCTGGAGTGCAGTGGCACAATCTTGGCTCACTGCAACCTCTGCCTCCTGGGTTCAAGCAATTTTCCAGCCTCAGCCTCCTGAGTAGCTGGGATTACAGATGTGTGCCACCATGCCCGGCTGTAAACTTCTTTGTAAAATAAATTACCTAGGCCAGGCGCAGTGGCTCACGCATGTAATCTCAGCCCTTTGGGAGGCTGAGATGTGCAGATCACTTGAGGTCAGGAGTTTGAGACCAGCCTGGCCAACTTGGTGAAACCCTGTCTCTACTAAAAATACAAAAATTAGATGAGGGTGGTGGTGGGCACTTGTAATCCCAGCTACTCAGGAGGCTGAGGCAGGGAGATTGCTTGAGCCAAGATCATGCCACTGCACTCTAGCCTGGGTGACAGCCAGACTCTGTCTCAAAAATAAATAAAATAAAATACTCAGCCTCAGATATTCCTTCATAGCAACACAAATGGACTAAGACAGTGTCTGATTGGAAACTTCATTAGTTCTTTTATTCACTCAACACCCATTTTTTCAGAACCCATCCCTAAAAGCTCATAGACTTTTAAGGGAGACAAACATATAAACAAATAATTACAACACAGTAAAATAAAAAATAGAGGCATGTGCAAGATATACAGTGGATATATTGAGATGAAGAATAATGTGGTGGGGGAAAGAGTGTTAGGGAGAGAAGGGTACCCTACAACTTTCCCTAAACAGGAAGTATTTGGATTAAGTTCTCCAGGAAGACAAGGAATAGGGAGGAACATTCCAAACAGAGAGCAGCATGTACAAAGATTCGTAGATGTGAAACAGGATAATGTGTTCAAGGAAATGCAAATCCCTTCATATTATGGGGATGTAGGTGCAGGGAAGGAAGAGAATTGGTGACAAGGGCTGAATAGGCAGAGACTAGAAGAATATGAAGAAATTGGAGCTTTACTGGAGGGAATGGTGAACCAATAAATAGTTGGAAGCAGGAATGACACAGTGAATTTAGTGTTCAGACAAATTGAACTCCAACTTCTTCCAATTGATTATCACACATAAAGAATGTATTAAAAAGTAATTAAACGTGAGATTTTTATATCTCTGAAGTGGCCATTTGCAGTGGGCATATGTTTTTTATGCCTACCCAGCATCCATTCTTTTTTTTCTTTCTTTTTTTTTTTTTTGTAAAATCAGTCCCCTGATTTTCCTCTGGGGACTTTACCTACCTCCAATGCTTACAGTATTCTACCACTGTGAAATAAGTTGTGTTACCCTTCTTGGCTGAGGGTTCGGCAAGAGAGCTAAGCAAAGGTCCTCCAACTCCTTCAGAAATCTAAATTTGTGAGGGCTGACTCAAGGATAGGACAAGATTAGATTTGATCCTTCTAGTATCAGCACCTCAAGGGGATGGTGCTGCACTTTCAGGTACCCAGGTTACCAAAGTTATTGCCTCTGATTCCCCGAATTTCCCTATAACCTTCCAGCAAATTCCATGTGTGCTTGAGGTAACAAATTCTGCTCAAATCAGGTGCAGTTTGCTTCTAAGCTAAGAACCTCAATTTGTGTATCTCCTGGGGAGGATGATCAGCTTACTTTTATCTGCTGAAAATTTGTACTGAGGTTGTTGTACTCCTATCAGGCTAGACACAGCAGGCAGCCTTTCTCTCTCTGAGTCTTGGTGCTGAACCAGTGTGCTGGCAAGGAATGGGCTCACATTTGCTTTGCTCTCAGAACCTGTAGACCTTCTTCACGCTCCTTCTCTTCTCCCCTCAGCTACCAACCTGGAACAGGAGGAATCTCTACTTGTGAAAGTCCTTTTCACTTTATATTTCTGATCATGACACTTTTTTTTAAATGTTGAGTGTTGAAACATCTCCTTCACAAAAGCACTTATGTTATCCTAAGACTTTGGAAGAATAATGAAAAAGACTTGCAGGCCTCTTCTGCTTCCCATCCTGCCCCAAAGCTACTCAGAGACTATAAACACATAATTATCTATGTGCTTGAATGTTGGAGAGTGGGAGTTGCAAGTTGAAGATGGAACAAAAATGAAGACACAAGGGAAGAAAATAAAGCAAGTTAACAATTCACAATACCTCGGTAGCTTAGTAATAAAAATATTGGTGCCTTTCAACGTATCTTTATTGTCGTTCTTTACAATAGTTTTATTTGTTTTTATATTTTGTTTTATATTTTACTCACAGATGAAGAGTATAAATTTACTACTCAATGTATTGGGTTCCTTTCCTGGGTCACTGTAATATCAGCAATGATGATGGTTGTATATGAAGATGAACAATCTTCATGCATTTTCCAACTCATCTGAAAGAGCTTTCAGAAGCCACACTTCCCATCAGAATGTTTGAGACACAGCCTGTCCATCTTCAACACTGGCTTTGCAATCACTGGCTAGGTGTTATTTAGTTATTTTTTTCACGCATACCTTCGATTTCTGGCATACAAACCTTTCTGTATGCTTTTATGTAATGTGAATCCAGATGGTGGATTGTATGTGGGTGCAATAAATGAATGTTTTAACATGTTTCTTGGCTGGAATTTATAATGGTAGAGTTTCTTTCCTAAGCCTCCATGTCTGCCACATTCTTCAGTGATTTTCACCAGGTTGCATAGATGTTCTGATAGAACGAGGGATCAAGGAAGCTAAAATGGTTCTTCCTCTAATCTTGATCACGCTCTCTTTCCCCCTCCTCACCTAATTTATTTCTCTGCCACACAAACTTGGAACTTTGCAGTACAGAGAAGACTTGAGGCAAAGAAGAAGAATAAAGGCACTGAAAGGAAGAGAAAGCCAGTAAAGGAAGTAGGAGAGAGAATTGAAAATTTGAAAGAGAAGATGGAATCAATTCCCTCAAAATACTTTTAAATATTCAAAAGCAAAGGATTAGAGTTAGTCAACGACAACAAAATATTTAAATAGGGGCACTTATGCCTGCTTTCCTTATACATCTGCACCCCCGTTTCCCTATCCATTTTCCCTTCTCAAACCATTCTGATACATGATGCTTCAACTGCATGTTGTGTTAGAGGCCATTTCACAAAAGTTATAATGGTCTTTAATGTTATTTTAATATGCATCATAGAGCTATTGCTCATTATTGCAGTATTAGGATTCCTCTAATTAGACAGAGAACTGCTTCTAACTGCTTTGTCATTACTAGGTAGTAAAGTTATCCCTCTTACAGGGGACTCCTTGAGAGGATAACCAAAGATGGGAATCAATATTTGGACCCACCTCTTATTGATTGCTATCCTCATGATGGAGGTAGCTTATATTCTAGACCCCATAGAACCACTTTCTATTTTTGTTCATGTTCGTAGTTTACTTTCTGTGATTTCTTTCTGGAGAAGAGGTCTCACTCTGTCACCCAGGTTGGAGTGGAGTGATTCAATGATGGTTCACTGAAGCCTTGGTCTCCCGGGTTCAAGCAATCCTTCTGCCTCATGGTGGCATATGCCACCATGCGTGGCTAAATTTTTTTTTTCTTTAAAAGTCTGATTTTCCCAGTGTTACTCAGGCTGGTCCCAGACTCCTGGGTTCAAGTTGATCCTCTCATCTTGGCCTCCCAATGTGCTGGGATTACAGGTGTGAGCCACCCACTCCCAGCCTGTGATATCTTTTTACCTGTAT